CCGCGGGGGGCGGACGGGGCGCCGTGTGGAGCCCCGCGGCTGGCGCTCAGCGGAACAGGAAGGAAGCCGCACACCGCAGGTTGTTCGAGATGTATATTGTATAGATGCCAATGCAATAATAAAAACAGTGCAAATACAATGACAGTTCATAATACTTGTCCCCACCCTGGCCCCACTCCCAACTCCCCCCGCCCCGAGCTGAAGCCCTGATGCTGGGGAAGGAAAGGTCCCGTCTCCGCTGCACTAGGGGTGCTGGTCACTGGTAGGGTCCTTCTTTGTGTGTGGGAAAGGCACAGATTTGGGAGGTGGCGAGTGCCACCAGTGCATTTCTGCAGGCCAGCCGCCCCGCCCGGACGTGAACGCCAGCCCCGGGTCTCTGCCCTCTGCAGCCGGCCGACTTGGCTTCCCTACCCCGCCCGGCGGAAACCAGCCCTTCTGCACGTTTCAGGTCATACACAAGAGGTCACACTACAAAAGGACGTAACAACTTTCACAATATCCATGGCGAGGCGGGTTTTTTTTTGTTTTGTTGTTTTCTACACAATGTACAATTGTTTTTAATGTGTCAAATAGCTTATATACACGAATGAGTCCTTGTTATAACATTTCGGCAGCAATATCATAAGCTAATTAAGATCTTGCCGGGGCGGGCGAGTGGAGGCGGGGAGGGGCAGAGAAGAAAGGGGAAGAATGGGTTATGCCTTGGGAGGAACAAAATAAAACCCCACTAAGCGTTCACAAGCGGCTCTACATCTAGCTGTAAAAGAAAAGCTAACCGAAGCGGGGAAAATCCCTATTTCCGTATCTAAAAAAAGAGACAATTTCCTACCGTACATCACAGCCAGAGAGGGGGGCACTGGACGAGGGACGGGGGTCGCGCGCGGTGGTCAAGACAAAAAAAAAGGAAGCCTGTGCGGATCACAAAGCGAGCGCCGGAATTCCCCTCAGACAGAGATCAGTAGGTGGGGCGGGGCGGGGGCGGCCAGGCCTGCGAGGAACCACTGCACGCTGGGTCCTCTCCCCCTTCGCCCTCGGCAGTGCAAGGGGGGAGCCGGGGGGCCCAGGGAGGTGGAAGCAGCTGCCCAGGAGTCCCGCCACCTGCAGAGCTGTGCGCCCTGGCTCTGTGCTTTCTAACCGGGTGCTCTCCGCGACAGCGGTGTCCACGGCCCCGCGGAACAAAGCCCAGAGCGGCGGCCAGCCCCCAGGAAGAACCAGGGCTGGGCGCAGGGAGACCCCGCTACGGGCTCCCTCTCCCTTCACGCCATCGATGTGCAATTCCAGGACAAGAGGCGGGGCGGGGAAGGGGCAGTGCAAGATGCAGCAGCTCAGCAGCGTGGGGCCACGGAGGGCCTGGGTGAGGAGTGGAAGCCAGCCCGGCTGAGCAGCACCCCGGGTGTCC